GAGGAGTGGGAACGCGAGCGGTGGGAAGGGCGGGGTGAGATCTGGGAGGGTTAAAATGGGGCTAAATTGAGGATGATAATCTGGGCCGGTTGAGGGATCTAAATTCCTGCAGGTGAAACCCAGGCCCAGTTTGCCCAATGTCAGAGGAAATTGAATTTTTTAGGGGGGGGTTCTGGGGATTGAAACCAGGCCCTCACACTTGCTAAGCAAGTGCTCTACCATTAAGCTATATTCTTTGCCCCCCTTATAATTTTATTTTTAATCAGTCTCCCTAAATTGCCCAGGCTGGCCTCGAACTCGCAGTCCTCTTGCCTTAGCCTCCTGAATAGCTGGAATGACAGACATGTGCTACTTGCGTCTGGCTGTGCCCTGGCTCCCACCAGTGCTTGGGGGGCCCCCCCGGGCAAGTCACTAATACAGGTAACAAGAACCCTACTTTTGTGCCATGCAGTGGGCATCCAGTGAGAGGAGTGTGCAGAGTGCCTGAAAAGCTCTGCCTCTGACAAGAACAGCTTCACTTGTGCTAAATGGCTACTCCTAATTTCATTAGATTTGGAAGTGGTGATCTTTCAGGCCAACCCAATACTGTGTCCATGATGCATTGTACAAGCAAAGGAGAAGTGAAGAAATATTCATGATGCCCAGAAATTCCCTGCGTTTGTCATACTGTGGGTAGATGCCAGCAAGAAGTGGAGTCTGAATCTGGGTTGGTTTCATTTGCATTGGCCTGTGGGACATTAGGAAATGTGACAGCGACCCTAGCTGGCCACCAGCACGAGGGGAAGCCTCCAGAGACACTTGAGCCAGGCCAGCCCAGAACTGCCAGGGGCTTTATGACTCAGGAACCAAGTAAAATAGTTGTTATTGTAAGCCTTAGGTTTGGAATAATTTGTTATCCAGCAAAAGCTAAATGATACAGCATTCTTTATCAAGGTAAAGTAAACTACAGTCAAGCCTTATTTATTGGACTAAAATGTTACCTTATTCTGAGGTAACAGTATCTGTAAATAATCTTTAGCGATTTAAAACAAAGTCAGTTTGTTTCTTTATAACAGAGTAAGTAACAAAGGTACTTTTTTGTGTGCTTGTTTTGTTTGAGACAGGGTCTCACTCTGTAGTTCACATTGGCTTTGAACTCACTGTGTAGCTCAAACTGGCCTTGAACTCATAGGATCCTCCCGTCTCAGCCTCAGGAGTGCTGAGATTACAGGCCATGACCCCCAATAACAAATTTACTTTATTGTAAGACTTGAATAGGCTAAAGTGACTCCATGCTAATAGGCCAGACTGTGCTTCTTCATATGCTAATTGCTACCTTGGTTAACAGCCCGCCCAGGGGCAAATGGTTTGACAAAAGGTGACCCTAGAACATTTCCTGCATAAGATAAGCAATGTGTTTGCAGTCTTGTTCTGTGAATTCCCTGACTCTTTGTTTAAAAAAACCTTATAAAAAGTACCTCAGCCCCTGAGCAGTTGCCTCTCTGAGCCACCTGGCTCTAGGAGTGCCGTCTGGCCAGACTAATAAAGGTCTATTTATCATCTAGCCTGGTGTGTTCCATCCTGGGTTTCTCGTTTCTCCGTGGAGCTCCTGGAGCCTCGCTGGGTGTTAGGGCCCAGCATCGTGGAGGCCTTTCGGCTGTTCACGCTCCGTGGAGTGGAAGTGAGACTTTAGGTCTTACATTATCAAGTAAAAGTTGATGCTTTTTTGGAAGATATTATAAAATCTCTATCTTTCTATATGATTTCCTATCTTACTATATGATTTTAAAGTTTTCTCTATAGTTATATTAGCATATATTTTCAACTTTTCAACATTTTATTGAAATATAATTTATATACCTTATAACTGA